GGCTATTTCATATCTTTTCTGGTTATGAAAGTCGTATTGTAGCGACTTTTGGTAAATTCGTAAAACTGGATAGGAAAATGTAGGCGGTCTATATGAACAGTGTTGTGACGGAAGTTATATCTTTAGCAATGACTTAATGAAGAATTTAAAATATGCTAAACAGGAAGTGGTGCAATATTGCTCGTGGGATGATTGCATCAGTGATTGGTGCGGGCTCTTGGTCTGTAGTCCTTTCTGTTCTAACTCTACCACCACCGCGATATACATTGGTATATGCGTGCTCGCGCTCGACGATCTCTAAAAAAGATCAGAAAACTCGCACTCTTCCTTCCAGTTCCTCTTTCTCCATTCTTTCTGTTGCCTTCTCTATTGAGCACATTTTTTTTCTATTCTATTCCAGTTTACATTTCCTTCTCGAAAAACTTGAGCATGTCCTTCTTTCCTATTCTTTCCGATTTCCGATTTTCGTTTTTACAATCCATCAGAGAAGGAGCTCAACAAGAGGGGGAGATTAGGGGACTGTCAACACCGCAACACCGCAGAAAAAAAAAAAAAGAAACATCGCATCACCGCAAAAACGGTTGACGAAACACGGACAACATTAATCTAACCCATTTTAAATAAACTCCATATAATTGGGGAAGGAGGATCTCGGAGCTGGTTTTGATTTAGTAGAGACTCAGACTGACCTCAAGATTCTAAGAGCTCTATTTCAGTTATGCAGATAAAAAGAATGCATGGTGGCGTGTTAAGAACTTTCCAACGAGTAGTTTCGGATCCGGATTTTTCCCTCTTCATAAAAGAGGGACACAGCCGGATATACACTCTATTGTGGCTCAATTGCCTCGATGTTGCAGCCATCAGGAGCCATTGACGGCGCGCTTACAGAATGAATTAACCATTAATAAAAGTAAAGTGTCAAGAGAGTTTTTACTGAAGTCTCAATGTTCTTAATGTTCCTCGTTTTATTAAGTAACTACGGTCAAATAATAAACCACAACACCGGAAAGGGTCCGCAAGTTATTTCGTTTCACCGTGAGTACCGTAAGTTTAAAATGAGAAACACCGCACACCGTACGGTTTGAGATCAACGCAACACCGCAAGATGGGATTTTATTCACGGCAATACCGCAAAATATTAGCGACACCGCAAATCCCCATGCTCCCCTCCAACAACATTCAGTCGTCCTTCAATGCGTCTGTTCTTCACGCTCTTTGAAGCACCTTGATGTCAGTGGCCACTTCACTGCGTTTACAACGAAAAACTAAAAAAAACGGGACCAAAAAAAAAAACGGCATGAAATTGTGTACGTCCTGTCTGAACGCCTGGAACAAGCTACCTTCATGCCAACCTCGTTCCCAGGGTTCTCTCCTATCCGCCCTACGGAGCAAGGAGAGAAACCTGGGAACAAGGTAGGTTTCATGCCTGCAGCAAGGCTGGGGAAACAATGTCTTCTACAACAACCTCTCCCATGTCTTAACTCATTCACATTTTCAGTCAAACTATCCCGTTGTAATGCTAGTCTTTGCACCCGCTGTTTCAGATATTTTTCATCATTTCACTTTTTTACTCATAGGTATGTTTATCGGGAGAACCATTTCCGTGCAAGGCAGGACAGATCCACTGGAAACCCAACTCTACATCAGGAGACCAGTACAAATGTCTGGAGTGCCCTTATTGCTTTAAGGGACAAGAGCCTTCTGTCCCGTGCGGTAGTTCTGTTCCATACAAAACTCCAGTCGACTGTGTAGAATGCCAAAGTGGTAAAACGTACTCAGACGAAGACGGCAAAGAACAGTGTAAAGCGTGTAGGATGTGTTCCGGGAAAGCCATAAAAAAGAACTGTACTGTTTCATCAAACACTGAATGTGATGATAAATGCTTGCCCGGGTATTATGAGGAGCCATTTATCTTCGGATGCCATCCTTGCACAGACTGCTGTAACGATGACAAAGATGAAATCGCAGAGGAATGTGCAAATTCGAAGAAGAAATGTAAGGTTCGTTCAATGCCTTGCAAAAGAGAATCAACGCTGTCTTCAAATGCAGGTACGGTTGGACAATCGACATTAACCGCCCTACAGACAAGTCATAAACCCAGGAAACAAGTGTCTACAATTCCACCTAGCTTGCCTGGGAACAGTCGTGTTGTTGATGATGGTGACAAACTAGCAAACTTTCAAAAAGACAACACTAATGGTGATGATAATACAGTAATTATTACTGTATCAGCAGTGTTTGCAGTGCTAGGGGTGTTAATTGCAATTGTTATAGTGCTGGTCCTCGTATATCAAGGACAAATACCCGTAGATACCGCCTTGTGTCGCTGTGATAGACGTTCAAATGATGACGGTGAAATGGAAGGCTATCACTCTACAACTACGTCACAAGAGCAGCTTCAGCAAGGTAAAAAGTTTTTTTAATACTTAAAATTATTAAAGTGAAACCTGTTTTAAGTCAACTGATATAACACAGTGGGAAAAAGGTCCCAATTGTTATATCGACTGAGAAGTGCCCGCCATAATTCTTTTACGCAGTGGTATTCAGTGACATCATATGTTGATGCATTACTGATACAAGAGGTATAAATACTGAAATAAATACGAACAACTGAGTGACTATCATTTCTCGCAATCACCTCCAAGGATATAAGAGACAAAATATTTAATGACAAAGAAAGGCGAGTATTTTGCGTGAATTCTAATCAGGGGCGGGGTCAGCTGAAATTATGTTGCGGTGTTTTTTAGAATAACTCCACAGCTTAAAACAACATCAACATACTAACCTGGTTATATTTTATAGGGTGTATGACACTTACCGAGTTGGAGAGTAATAACCAGGACCTGTTTGACTGGGTGTGCTTGATGCTTGATAGTGGAAAACGATGGTTCAGGTCGGACTATGAACTTTTAGCTGCACAGTACAAGGATATTCCACTTGTTATACGCAACACCTTGAAATCCGAGCTTCAAAGAGGAGAAAGTCCTTCAAGGTTGTTAATGACTAAACTCCAAACAATGAATCCAACTCTTCCTTTATGCGATCTTGTCGGGAAGCTGAAAAAGATTGGACGTAATGACATTGCCAGAAAACTAGCGCCTCATGTGAAGAACAATGTTGAAAACCTACCTGCTTAGGAAATCGTAAAGCTGCCTTTTTCTGAAGTGAAGGTTTATGGTAGTTAAGACATGCAGGTGACAGACAACTGAGTCTGCAGTGGATCAAAGAATGACGGGCTAAGACACATTTGTCATTGAAAAAGGTGCAAATGTTTCCGGTCGCCAAAATCAGAAATCTGTCAAATGACTTTAAGAACAAACACAGGACGAAAAAATAGATTTGCACAAATAGCAAATATGTGGCAAAAATGTGCTATGCCACATTTGCGTACCAGTTTACAACCTTAAAGAGGCCTTCAATGTCGTACATTTTCAATGTCACAGCTACACTTTTAAGGTGCTCTGTCATAGGATTTTCAGTTATGTGCGCATAAAAAAATTATATTTGTTGTTTAATGAAATTTCAAATACTAATGTTAGTTTAGTACAATACGCAAACACAAAAGGTGAGACTTGAAGTCAATAGTATAAACTATAAATGATAAAGAATGGTTTGGAAAATCGAATAAGTTAATATGTTGTAGATAGACTGCGAGCAGTCTCTTAATTTTCTTTTGAGACACTGTAGAATGCGACCACGCGTGAGGGGCAAGCGGCAAAACGGCAAGAAACGAGAGAAACTTACCTTTTCACTTGCCACGCGTGACTCTGAGGAAAAAAGAACGACCTTATAAAAAACGTGGCCCAGCTCCTTTAAGAGCACAACATTATACCCATAAGCAAAAGATTAACACAAAGATGGTTTGTGATTGGGACCTCCAATTTAATTAGTTGATGGGGTCTACTAGAACCTTGAATGGTGCAAGCGCAAGGGAAAACAAAGAGAGAAATAACCTTCAGTCTATCTGCACATTTAGGTCTTCTGACCTTGTCCGTTTGTTAGTCAGCAGAGTCAGAGCCCAAGGAACGATTATTTATTAAGTTGATTCTAATCAAAAGAGGATCTCTTGATATTATTTTATTATTATTTTAAAATATTTGAATGTAGTTCCAGTCTGTTGCAGAAAACATGTGAAATAAATTATTTAAAAGAGCTGTTACTTATTAATGCGTAAAATGAGTTCACAAAAGTGATGCATAAAAAAAACATACGAGTACATACGAGTAACACACGGCTACGTGCGAGTACCAAAAGGATACATACTACTAACATAGGGGTAGTGCGTAGCTGATACACATAAACCTAGTCTTTGCAGTGGAGAGATGTTTTTTGTGATCATAATGACCCATTACCTATTGCGAAATTAAGAGGCTATGTCAAGCTTTTTGATTTCTTTTTGAAAGCCCTTCCGCTCGCTGGGAGACGGATGAGATTTCAGACTGCAGGTCGGTTCTAAAGTGTAACCTCGATTTAACGAAATTCTAGTTATAACGAACACAATGCCAAATATATAGACCAACAAGTAGTTTTAAGCAGCTTTGTTCGCCTGTTAATGAGTATCTAATGCCGTAGCTATACAGGGGCGGATCCAGGATTTTTTCAGGAGGGGGTGCACTCGACACTTGCTCTACTTCAACACCAATAAACCACATAGTTTTTTTTTTGCAGAATACCAGTTGTATTAGAAAACTGCAGGTCATCTCAGGGGGGGGTGCGCACCCCCTGCACCCTCCCCCTAGATCCGCCCCTGCTATTACTTACTTACAATCAGAGACTGGAACTCCTTACCAAATGGTGTCATTGATAAGCAGTCAGTAGAGGCTTTCAAAATGGCCGTCATGTGCCATCTGTAAAAAACGCTGACGCTTTTTCTTTTTTTTAACTTAATGCTGTCACCATAATTGTATATACCTAGCCTGCGAGCAAGCTCTCCTCTTTGGACGAGCAAAGTGAGTCTCGCGAGAACGCGCGGGCAAGCCCCTCGCTCGCGCATTTTCGTTTAGACTTGCTTCGCTCACCTAAGGGGTGGACCATTTGATTTTTGATGGGGGGGTTGCAGGATTTTTAGACTGCTAGATATTTTTTTTTATTGCTCCAGCCCTGCAGGATTTTTTTTTAATCTCCCTGTCCTTGCATGATATTTTTTTTAATGTGGGGGGGGGGGGTGCGCACCCCCTGCACCCTCCCCCTAGATCCGCCCCTGCTATATACAGCTCTTTACTGAGATGCTATTACAACAACAACAACAATGTACGAAGGTATTGCCATTTACATACATGGCATTACCTATTCTCTTAAAAAAGTAAATAATTAATTAGTTAAATCACTTCTGAAATTACATGATCGTGTCTACAATTCATAATCTCAAAAATAAAAGCAGCAACTGATTTACAAATAAATGGATCAATACTGTTAAATAGGAACAAAATTTTTGATTTTACATCTAAGTCGTTCAAAAAGTTATATTTGTTAATGATTTCATGAAAAAATTTGTTGCGAAGCGTATAGTACAGAGTGCAAGAAAACATAACAGTAAATTATTGTTCAGATGCTGCAATGCTGGGTTTTTTAAATACCTATACCTCGCGATAACGAACATTTGTTTGTTTTTTTCGGAAACTCGTTAACTTGAGGTGTTCGATATGACGAACCCTAGATATAACGAACAAATTTCGCCAGTCCCTAAGCACGAAGTTCCACTACGAAGACGTCAGACACGAATGCATTGTGGGATGTGGGAAAGCCCCTTCAAAACATTTCGAAGGGTCCCACTTCTGATTCAAAAAATGGGTGAGAGAGCTGTTATTTCAAGGTATCGTAAATTTATATTTTCGTTATCCGAGGCACTTTCAAAGCGTGATTTAACTTCACTGAAGCATCTGTTATGTGACGTGTTAACAGTGAGGGAAATAGAGAATATAAATGACCCAATGGATCTATTTTGTACTCTCGAGAGAAGATGTATTCTTGGCAATGATAACTTCGGTCTCCTGAAAGACCTTTTCAAACAGATACATTGCCAGGACCTTGTCAATAAAATAAACGATTTTCAAGGAGAGAAGACCAGTAAACGTGGTTTCGTCCGCAGTAATAAAACCAAGCCAACGGATCAGCGAACACGATTATGTCCACTGAAAGCGGAAGACCTTCCGGATTGTAAAAAGCGTCCAAGGAGTGATTCTCAGGTACCATTTTGTGGTTTTTAAACATATAAGGTGTGATTTTTAAAACAGATAAGGTTCCTTGTTAAAATACAAAACCTTATCTGTTTTAAGGGGTGAGGAACAACTTTGCCTATAAGAATGTGTGTGGTATTTTCTGTAGTTTGGCAGGAGTGTAGAATCATAGCCTGCGCGTGACAGGCGTACAAAATCATAGCATACCGTAAAATTCCGAAAATGGGCCCCCGGGCTTAAATTTGTCAAAGGCCCTTTTTGAGGGGCTTATGTACGGAGGGAAATTTAAGTTTCAAAATCGATTGGGCTAGCCTTACAGCTGGAAGTAAAATTTACCGTTTTTCTTTGTTTTACTTTGTATTTGAGGGCAATTTTCCAAGTGCAAGCCCCCGGGGGGCTTATATTTGGAGGGGCGATTTAATGGCGGGTTTTTTGCGTTACCAGTTTGGGGGGCTTATATTTGGAGGGGCTTATATATGGAGGGGCTTATATATGGAGGGGCTTATTTTTGGAATTTTATGGTGTTGTCTGAAGAGCTATCCCATTAAATATCTCCCCCGAACCGCCGCCGCTCTAGTCTCCCACACAGGCGCTTTTAGGGGAGCTCGTATTTTGTCCCTCCCTCGAAAATCGCCTGGGTGGGAGGCTATCGCCGCTCCGTTACGGAAACGGTGGATCCACAAGATCCACCCTGATCCACCCGGCTTAGAACCCCTATTTTGTATACTACTGTTACCTCACAATAAAATAAAATGCTTGAAAGACACTTTTAATTAAAAAACCGTCACCTCGCTCTATATGAACACTATGTGTCCGTCTTATAGAGAGATATCATCTTATGGAAAGTCAACTAAAAGGAGTAAAGAAAAGAAGGGACCAACTCTAATATCCGTTTTAGGTGTCTGCCTTATAGAGGTGTCGGTCCGTTTACAGAGCCGAATGTATAACTTAATTGTATCTATGGTGTTATTATAACAATTAATAGTCATGTCATGTAGTCTAAAGTTTAACTCTTTTCAGTGCTTGTTTCAGTCCATACAACTAAACACTATTTATCTGTTGTTATTAGTTTCAAGGATCAAGCCGGTGGGAAACATTGAAAGGTATTTTATAGTTAATTTTTTATTGATTTATCTTTTATTCGTAGTATGAACAATTCAAGGTGGATTAAAACAACTTGTTGACATAACGGAGACTAGATGCATAGAAACTGGGTGAGTTTGGGTTTCCGTAAAAGAAAACTATTGACGTAACCAAGTCTATATACTAGCCTGTGAGGGGAGGCGGGGGGGCTCTGTACACAGGCTATCTATATGCATAAACAACTAGAAGCGATACTTCCGTGACTATATGCACGAAAGTGCTTTACACTGTATTACATTGCATGAATCATGTATTTTGGGAGTCCAATAAGTAGAGAATTGTAATTTGTCTAGTTAATTTAGGGTGAAAAAAAAAATGTATGAACACTTATTTTTCGTACTGTGAACCGATACATAAGCCCTTATCTTGGCTATGTTTCTGACTTACAAACAGAACTAATAAGTTTTACCGACGAAAATCAGAAAATCGTACATAACAATCACCAACTAAATTAGTAACAAGTGAAGGACTATGTTGGAACAGTTCAGCTGAACAGTTAGAACGTGGCGAGCAAATAATTAATGAATTTTGCGTTGGAATGCATTTTCAACGCATTTGAAATGCTTTAAAATCAAGAGAGGATAAAGGCGACAGAGAAGGCATCCTCCGTACACACCCTATTCCATAGGTAATTCGTCTCGAGTTATTTTTAAGACCACAGATCCCAATGGGGATTGGATAACAGCCAATCACATAGCGCGAATGTGTTCCGCGTGGATGACCCACGCTCAGAGCCACGCGTCCTTCACGAATTGAGGCAGAAAAAAATGGCGGAAGACGCGGAGAGCGATATTGCTATTCGTTTTGTCGACGAAAAC